TCTAAAGGACATAAAGGCAAGGTGGCATTTTTGTAATAAAACCCAACTCTTTTAGCTAGGGTGCAACTCGTTGAACGTTAATGTGCAACTACTGTTTTATGGCTGAATAATATGCACAACTTTGAACCTCAATATGCAATACAAAGAACGTCAAAGTGCATCGTACAAATATTTGCACAATAAGCATAATTTGTACTTGATCTTTCCCCTATATATATATGTATGTATGTGTGTGTGTGTGTGTGTGTGTGTATGAAGCGCAATATTTTTAAATAATTTGTTTAGCTGAGTTCTGATTGAATTTCAAGTTCAAATTTTGAGGAGATAATCTAAATTTAATGAACAACATGCTCTCAAAATTTCATCAAAATTTGAAGTTTCACAAAATTTCATCAAAACCATTTGTAGTGGCAGGGAGTCTAAAATGTTAAATGTGAATTCCGTCAATATGAAACTAGTGTTTAGACTCCGTCAATACTATTTTTCTCTGCAATTTCAACACCGTCAATAAAATACCCTCACCATATTAAATTCGTTTTTTTTATTCAAGAAAACACCAACAATTTTAAAATCTCAATTTTTTTTTCACTTTATATATTACATATTAGTGTCATGCGAAAGATCATAAAAATTCACGAATTTTGATATATTTTTAAAAAAAATTGAAGGACAAATAAATTTGGTATAATGACGCAAGGATAGCCTCGAATCCAAAGGACAGATGGGCAGGAAGGTTAATCAGCTCGTCGATTGCGGTTGGATGGGCAGGAGACTAGAAGTTCAGACGACGAGGCGGGAGGATTCTCTTCCAGATCGCTCATTCTTTGGTCCCCTTTGATGAAAGGATGGCTCGACTATATGATAGGGTGGAGGTATGTTGTTTATTTGATTGGTTGTTGATGTTTTGCTTCATGGGTGTAGCAAGAGAAATTGTGCATGTGTTGCTACAGGCGTCCAACCATGATTCTAGAAGTATTGCAAAGCAGCAGGGAGAAATACACGTGATGGATCAAAACACTACCTCGTGAAAGAAGTGAAGATTGCTAAAGGGTACATGATGTTGTAGCTGGAATCTAATGCCAAAAAAAGGGGTTGGGCGAGATCTGCGTGTTAGGCTCGCCGGGAATCTTGAAGCTTCGTTGCGTGTTTTGGCACACTTGTTTTTTCCAGTTCTCTTTTCACGTGCACACAATGTCATTTTCTTTTTTCTGCTATGCTTTTATTTTTCGTAGTCGTGATACTAAATGTATGATTTTTGGTTGTTTTTAGAGATAGGTAGTGAGTGTTTTGAGGGACAAGTTCTTCTTTCTAGTCATTGTAGGTTTAAGTTGCCCATTGTGGTTAGCGAATTATGATGCTTTTTCTAACGCGAATAATTCTATGTCTAATTTCAGAACTAGGGGTGCTTCTCTGATTGTTGATTTCCGAGTTTCTGTTGATATAACATAATCATTCTTCCTTCAAAAAAAAATACGGAGGAATTACGTCAATCTACTCTCTAAATTTGATTTGAAACCCTCCATCACCTTTTTCAATTTGAATCCCCATTTTAATCCCCACTACATCAAATTAGAAGTCGCAAATATCTAAATATAACAGTTTGGACTCTCCATCCCTGCCCCTACAACTCTACAAGTGGTCTAAGTCCTCAAATTGGTTTAGAAGCTGTTCTCTTCGTCTTATTCTTATTACTTATTGCTTATTCTTATTTTATTCAGATCAGATCAGAAAGATTCAGATCAGATCAGACCAGATCAGAAACATTCAGATTAGACCAGAAACATTCAGATCAGATCAGATCAGAAAAATTCAAAAATGATTTATCACTTTATTATTATATTAATTATATAATAATAAAAATTATTATTATTACATTATAATTAATACTAATAATAATAATATTGTGTCCAAATAATAATAATAATATATAAATAATAATAATAAAATATTTATATTAATATTATTATTACAATAATAATATAATAATAATAATAATTTTACTATTATTATATACTTTTTAAAGAACTATTTTTATTATCATTATTATTATATTATTGTATTATCTTATTATTTTTTTATATTACTTTTATTATATTATTATTATAATTATAATAATTATAATTATAACTATAATTATAATTATTATTATTAATATAATTATTATTATTATTATTATTGTTTTGTAATTATTATTAACATATTAATTTTAATTATAAGTATTATTATAGAAATAAATATTATAATTACAATTAAAATTATAATTAAATATATTATTACAATTTTAATTGTATCTATAGTTATAATGAGTGTAATAGGTATAATTAATATAATTATAATTTTAATTATTATTATATTTTTATAATTATGATTTTAATTATAATTTTAATTAAATTATACTCCGTATTTATAATTATAATTATAATTATAATTATAGAAATATTCAAATCAGATCAGATCAGAAAGATTTAGATTAGATCAGAAGGATTTAGATCGGATCAGACCAAATCAGAAAGATTCAGATCATATCAGAAAGATTCAGATTAGATCAGAAAAATTCAGATCAAATCAGATCAGAACTTAAAAAATTCAGATCAGAAACATTCAGATCAGGTGAAGACAACAGCTTCTAAGCCTATAAGTTTAGGACTCCTGTTAGTGAAGACTGATGAGATAAGGTCTCAAACGTGACCGTGCCTAGGCATGGACCCGGTTCGGGCCGCCTGGCCCGCTACTGTGCGGGCCCGGAACCGGCCCGGTTCTCGGGTCCGGGTCCGGGTCGGGCTTAGGCCCGGTGGGGGGCGGGTCCGGGCTCGGGCCTTGTATTTGGCGAACCGGCCCGTCCGGGTCGGGCCCGGGCCGAATTGATTTTTTTTTTTATTTATTTTTTTTTTTTTTCATTTTTTGGGGTTAGCCGAGTTGGGCTTGATGGTTAGGAGGGGTTTGGGGGTTTGGGGGGGGTGGGGGGTTAGGAAAGCAAAAAAAAAAAAAAAAAAAAAATTATGACCGAACCGGAGGCCCGGCCCGGCCCGGCCAGGACCCGGACCGAACCCGGTGGCTACCCGGGCCGGTCCCGGGCCTTCCTTCCCAAAAAAAAAAGCCCGGCCGGGCCCGGCCCGGAACCGGCCCGGCCCGGGTCCATGACTAACCGTGCCTAACATAATATTAATCACTTCGTATAACAAATTAACCACTAACCTTCTATCTTTTGGATGCCGTCTAACTTGCACTTTAAAAACGGGAATATTACTGACAACATGGACCCAATGAGCCATTTTGTCCTGCAAAATTTTAAAGACTGTCTTCATTTTCAAATGAACTAATCAAGCAGTTTAGAACTTAATCCTATTTAGCTATTTAAATTTTAAATTATCAAGCAGCCGAGAGTGGAAATATACCAAGTTAAAAATTTAGAATATGATGCCGCCGTGTCATTTACTACTATCTTTCCAGAATCATTCTTCAGCCTGCATAGGACAAGACAAAAAGAAAGTTAAGACCAAAAGTTACCAAGCAGTGAGGTGAAAATTTCCCGAAGATAAATAAACGTTGTAGAAAATTACGGTTCAGGTTTGGGATTTGAAGTAAAATCTTCGGTGCTATTACCGAACAGCCTTAATCCCGGGTTCATATAGTAATTATGGCGGGCAGACGGTAAATTTGACGGAACAGTTAGTCCACCACGGCTTACCCGGTAGTACTGCTGAAGCAACCCGGCCAAACTTCTGACGTTCATAAAAGAAAATGGAGATTTTCTAGACATAGTCAAACTAATGTATTTTTCTATTTTAGCTATTTCAAGGATCTATTGTGTTTGTGTGTGTATATATGTATGTATTAAACGAAGTCTAATTTTAAACGTGAAAGAAGGATTGAAGATCTCTAACACGCCAAGGAAGTAGTGATGCCTTGGCTTTAAAGTATTTCATTTGAGTTTGTATTGTTTTGTGGTCAATTGCCAAATCATGGTGGGCAGGCCTCATCTATGGACGTTTCTTGCAAGTTATAAACTGCATTGGGGGGTTTCTTAGACATTTTAAATAACTTCCTATTGTTATGTCTTGGCTATCAATAATGTTAATTAAACCCGAAAATCGAACTGAATTGATTCGATATTTTGAATTAATCTAGATTTTATTAAAAAAAATGACCGGTTCGGGTTTAATAACAGACCCAAGCCTGAAATCTCACTCTAAATGATAAGGTAAACAAGGAAGATGAAGCTTTGACGGCCCATCTTCCTCTTGAACCACTGTCTCGGAGTGGCTACATGACTAGGGTTTCGAACATGGTTGTGATTTCTTATTCTATTTTTATTCTAAGCGTTATGTTTCTTTCTTTGATTTTTCACTTTGTTTTTGTTTTTATTGTGTTAGTGGCGTTCTTGAGATGTTTAAAGTTGTTATGAGAAACAAGTCAAACTAGACGTAGTCAAACTAATGTATTGTTTTGTGGTCAAATTGCCAAATCAAGGTGGGCATGTCTCTCCTCTTGATCTTGATAGACAATCTTCATACTTAACTTTTAGACAAGTCTCTCCTCTTGATCTTCATAGGCTGTACAATTTGTCCTTTTGGTTAATGAATTGTTATCCGATTTTTTGGGGGACTAATTCTACATCTAATCCTAAAAGTGCTATGTCGGTTCAACAAGTCCAAAGTGTTGGCCAATGTATCATTTGTGTGTTTTGAGATATCACCCGCACGGGTGACTCAACGGTGGTTGAGTAAGGTACGTTGTTGGATTGAGATCATTCCCAACGACAGTGTGAGAGTTTCATTTAATATGGTGGCTCTTTGAGCACAACAGATCCTGAATTACCTCACTCAAAAACCGTTTGAGATCATACTGCGACTTACTCCTTCATCATTCTGTCAGGTCAGAATTTGAAGGCGTCTAGGTTAGGCGATTCCACCTTTTTGGATTGTGTTTTGAGGTATCAATGAGCATGCCTTTATTCTTTATAACCCTCCATTTTTTACTTTATTGGGAAAACCCCTTATTTTGTTTTAAAGTTAAATTTCTTATTTCCCGTTTTACTAATCCGCTCCACAATGGACCATCTTCTCCGTTATTGAATCTGTGAAGAGGTGAAGTGGGAGAAGAAGAGAGGTAAAGTAACACCAAGGATCGCTTAAAGATCAAATCTTCTTCCGCAATGGAGAAACCGAATGAGTCGCCACCGATTGATGACTATTCACCCAAAAATACACTCATTACTTTCAAAGAGCCGATCCCTTTGCTACGCGGACCCGTCAGTACCGAGCCAAAGGAAGGCGAACCAATTGCCGGTCGCTCATTCACTCTCGCTTTCCGGGACCCAATTTCTTGGGAATCTGCTTACCGCAACTGCGAGCACCAAATCACTCAGCAATGCGAAACCGGGGTCAGAATCGGCTGCTCCATTGCCGCCTCCCACAAATGCCAACCTCCATGGTGGAAAGCTGTATTCGGCGGCGGAGTTTCCAAACAAGATCTCGCAGAGAGGCAAAAATGCGAAGAGCTAGAAATGGAGGCTTGCCTTAGAGAGGCCAAGGAGAAATGCGTTGGATACGCGAGGGACAAGTGCTCGCGAGCATTTCTAGATGCGAGGATTTGCGTCACAGGTGCGAAAAACCCTAATTTGAACTGGAAAGAAGTGTCGAAGTTAATTTCTTGTGTAAACTTGGCTGATAAGAATTTAGGCACTGATTTATTGAGATTACAGAGGCCATGGGTTGATTTCAAGACTCAATTAGAAGTTACTTGTAGAGGTAGAGATTTATTGGGCCCTGATACTGCAAATTTTGATGATTTCTAGAAGCCCACAATGTTCAAGTTTCAATCTTTAATTGCAGTGTTGCCTTTTTGTTGGACTGAATATATTGGGTCTGAAGAGATTACATTGACCCAGATATGGGGACTTTGATGAAAGCTCTTTATGTTTCTTTAAGTTTATTGATGTGATGTTTAATGTTTAGCTCTTATATGTTGCCAGCTTTTATCTAAATTGCTATGTAACCTGCTACCACTTACTCACTGACTTACCAGCTTGACTATAATTCCCATGGATGGTACTTTCTTGTTGCATCTATTGGAACCACACCCACACACTACTCCATGGTTGAAAGAAAATGAAATTGTTAAAAGCTCACCGCTAGGGTTGGATCCCATAAAATACTATGGAGTTGGAAACAAGTGCTGAAAAAAGTTACATATATTTAGGTTGCAAAATATAACCCCTGTTTACCTCAAAAATTGCAAATGAAACATGATTAATTTGGTTAAATAGGTTTAAATACACTATTTCTGTTCTTAAATAGATGAAAACTGTTGAGTTTTACACTACTCAATTGTTCTACATTGATTACATTTGCATTAATGCTTTAAAAATTTGTTTTTTTAAAAAAATATGATTAAATTCCTCTCATTCAAAAATTTTAAAATATGAATTTTTAATTTTTTACTAAAAAAGGGTGAAATATATTGATGGTCAAAGTTGTGTGTCAGCAAACGTGAAATGGAAAATGTGACAACTAAAAAAGAATAAATGAAGTATATGTTAGTCATCATAATAAAATTGACACTAATGATCAGAATGAAAATCAATGAATATCTAAAATAATTTACTTATTTTTCACAATCTATTTACATTCAATTTCCATTACGTTTTCCTCTCTTTTTTCTTCTCTAGTACTAGTATTTGATGGGATCTAAACTGACATTGGGAGTTGCAGTTTATGGAGCTATAGCATTTGAACTTGTGTATTCATCGGATCTATGGATAAGCATGAAAAGAAACTGTGTTTTGTTTTCACGTTTGATATACTTGTATGGATATACTTGTCTAGATAAGTGGAATAAGAAGAATATGGGCTTAACACAAGTGTCTAAGAAGAGCCAAATCTGAGCCACTTGCTTGTGGACCCTGAATGGCATAAGTCATTTCATGTAATTGGGTAACCACCAACCTCTCATATAGCAGACAAAATGGTAGGATTGAGACCTTTCCCTACAAGTGTGCTCATCATCCTCAAGATGCCATTTCATTCTTCTCTTCTTTGATAAACTTTACAAACCAAGACATATATGGTCATGGCCACCTCAGCTATAGCTCCATTTTCTCATGCTTCTTCAACTGTAAAACTACTTTCTGAATTGCCTGATCTCAACTCCATCCCATGTGACTATATCCAGTCACCTAGTCCGGATGAATCTCTTGAGGATTCAAAATCGATCCCCATAATTGACTTTTCCCACATCATCTCTACTAACAGTGACCAAAGGTTTAAGGCCATCGAAGCCCTTGGCAGGGCTTGTGAAGAGTGGGGTTTCTTCATGGTACATATCACTGTTATACGTCTTCTTTCCAGCATAACCTATTCTTTTCATTTCATGAATTTTTGAATAAGTTTATATCTTGGACATGCTAGGGAATGAAAAATGCAAAGCAATGTTATTTTGTTGTTCTTGGGTTCACTGCAGTAAATGCAGAATAAAATAAAATATGATTGATTTTTTCATTTTTTAAAAATATGAATAGCATTCTTAGAGTGTCATATAACTGAAATAGATAAATAAAAATGAGTTTGGTTGAATTCCAGAAATAAATTTATTGAGTTTGAATAAAAAACTATTTCCTTCAGGTTTTATTTCATTCAAGTTTCCACTTTATTATCTTCCCTATTTTCTTTTCCTATGATTTCCCAAGTTCCAAACGGATGCTTAAAAAAATTAACTATTACATGCACTTCATTATCTCTTTGGTGGATGGTAATCTCAGGTGGTAAATCATGGTATCCCGGAAAGTTTGATAAGGGCAATGATTCAGGTCACTGGTGATTTTTTCAACATGACTGAGGAGAAGAAGCAGCAGTTTGAAGGAACACATGTTTTAGACCCAGTGAGGTGTGGGACCAGCTTCAATGCCTCAAAAGAGAAAGCCCTCTTCTGGAGAGATTTTTTTAAGGTCTTTGTTCATCCTGACTTTCACTGCCCCTCTGATCCCCAGGCTTTAAGGTAATTTTATTTTAATTTATCATAATGCGTGTTCTTGCTTAACTTTAGATTGTTTAATTGTTTATTATTCATGTTTCCAATTCTGCAATAGGCAAATCCTAGAGGGGTGATCAATGACTGTCAATAGTTAGAACTTAAAATTGTTAAACTTGGTAGCTTAAGAGCTGATATGATATTTATATTGAATATCACCACACAATAGATTTTACGGGTGGATAAAGAATAAAAAGAAGGGTACTGAGGGAAGTTTAATTGTTTCTACCTTTGTCTTCTAAAAAATTTGAAAACCACTTTTCTGTTTTAATCTAAACAGAGAATCATTGGTTGAATAAATTAGAAGGGAAGCGAAGGTGTTTTAGCATTACCATGCTTAGATATACTAAAGAGGAGAGTTCTTAAAAATGCTTATTTGGTTTTGGTAGGGAAGGAAAAACAGTAGTTCATAGACCATCACACCCCTAATAAATTTAATATTAGATGACTGGTTGTAACCACAAACATTAATTATAAATGAAACAGTCTTTAAATTACAAACACGTTTTTATGAATATGTTCTATAAATTTAATTACAATTTTTTATAATATCAAGTCATGGATTTTTTAAATAAAATTATGTTGAGTATATAATCATGAATATCTTATTTTCAGAGTAAGAAGATAATCACTCTTCTGAAGATGCAAATCCAGAAGATAGATACGTAGTGTGGCATAATGAAAAAGTAACCATCTACTCCCTCCGTCCCCCTAAGTTTGGGACGGAGGGGTGTGGTGTGGTTTTTAAGAAAAAGTGGAATTGTGTGGTTGGTATTGAATTGATAAAGTGTAAATAAAGTAAGAATGAATTCTAACCACTCAAATGCTACCATATATGGTATGGGACAAACTTATTGGGACGGACGAAAAAGGTAAAACGGGACAAACTTAGGGGGACGGAGGGAGTATTATCTAATGAAGAGTGTGATTGGGTCAGCTAAGATAAAAGTACTTGTTTCTCATCCTTATCTCTCCAGTTTTGGACAAGAGGGAAGGGAAATTTCAGTTTAGACTTCACTGCCCTCTTACACTTTGTATCACCCGAAAGGAAAGAGTATCAAAATTCCTCCCTTTTCCTACCTTACTTTCTATTTCGCTCAAACCAAACAAATGCTGACTGATATGGTCTTCTAAAACTAAAAAGTGAGAACTATGGCAGGCAACATGGGTCGCGGATTGGTTTTTGGGTTAAGTTATCTTTGGTTTAAAGCAGGAGATATCCAAACCAAACTTCATTGGGCTCGGTTTCAATTTGATTTGAGTTTCAGTTTGTTAGATTTTTATTCAAAGTTGTAACGAATATCTATTTAGTTCAGTTTGGTCAAACCGAATCGAAATGCCAACCCTCTATAAAAACAGATCATCTACTTTTGCAGGGATCTTATGTTGGAATATTGTGAAAATAGCCGTGACGTGGCTAAGAAATTACTAGGGGCGATACTGGAAAGTCTGGATTTGGATGAGTGTTCCATCCATACTGCTTTGGGGTTGGACTCTATGTTTCAAATCTTCATAGCAAATTACTACCCACGTTGCCCACAGCCTGAGCTAGCAATGGGCTTGCCACCACACTCGGATCATGGCCTTCTAACCCTTCTCATAGAGAATGGTGTGGGAGGGTTGCAAATAATGCATAAAGGAAAATGGGTCAATGTCAATGCCCTTCCCAACTCCCTTCTGGTTAACACTGGTGACCAACTTGAGGTAATTTACGTGCTCAACTATTAAATCAAGATGTGCTCAACTAATTGGCAGTATAAATTTAATGTCATCAACCCCAACTATTTGGATTAAGGTGACGAAGAATTGATAATGATGAATACTAAACTACAATCCAATATATAATGTCATGACTGGGTGAGTTTTATGCTTTACTATTTGTAATTCAACTAAAAGCCAGATTTTGGTTATTATAAAAAATGATTTTCAGTTTCCTTTGGCGTTGCTCAATTATCGTTGTTATTAAAATGATTAGTATAATTATGAGTGGTTCTGGTTTATCATACTAGGCATATCATGTAACGTCTACTATCGTAAAACCAAAACCTGGAAACTGCCAAGCACCTCAAAACGAGGTTCCAAGTCTTTTGGGCTACCTCTATTGATGTTGAACTTAGGATAGAACATAAAGTCTTAATATCGTATTGGAGCATATTCAGCTCAATCGAGCCATTCCTTACAAGAACAATGCATATGAAAACTTTGGGCTATTTTTCGCATTAATGCAAACTTTTTAGGATAACATGACTACATTATGAGGTGCTTGTTTCTGCTTCTTAAAAGTTAAAACTAATTCTGCTGTTTCAAACAACTGCAACCAGAAGAATTAGTTTTCAAAGAATCCTCACCCCCCGGGATAATTTTTGAAGTAACCTTGTCATGTGATAGAACTACACAATATTTCAACAGTAATTCTAACAAGAATCTGCTCAAACAAGAGGATAGAATGCAAGAACATCAATCAACATTATACTGAAAAGTAAATGTTCATGTACAGAGTCCCAAAGTAGAGATAAAACTCTAACTTCCCAGCCAAGACAATTCGTCTCTAAAAACAGCCTGCCCCCAATGCTCCCTGTTTATTCTATTTATAGTTAGACTTTATAACCGTAAGTGGTTATAAGCAGCTTAACGAAATAACAGCTAACTACTTTCTTCTTCTAGAATAAACTTGGCTATAGTATTTGTCTTGTTTATTAAACTGGACCGGGTCTCTATCAATACTCCCCTGCTGAAGATCAAGCTTGTCCTCAAGCTGGAAGTAGGGAAACTGCTTCTTCATCATCTGCACTTCTTCCCAAGATCTCTCAAACTCTGGCAAGTCCTTCCACTGTATTAGTACTTCAACAATGCCATTCTTCTTTCTGACATCCACCACTCTTTCTGGTATGACCTGTAACTCCCAGCTTTCATTCAGGCACAATGGTAGAGGTTGACAGGGAGTGT